GGCTAAACCGAATGGGTTGACAACTACGAGTTCAACTCCTCTCAACGCACAACCATGATCGCGAGTGGCAGTATCCGAGATGGATGGGTGCGGAGCCGACTCAAGCCACAACCTCATTTGTCACTCTGACCCTGATAATAGGCGCTCGCTAACAATGCCCGCTCTCGCAACCATTCGCTCGTGCGCCAGCGTAGTCTCAATAGGTGCTCGCTAACGGCACCTTGCACACCCGCACGGAGTAGATTCTGAAGGCTGAAACGGGCATCTGTGTGTGTGCGGGCGCGCGCGTGTCTCTTTGAACTCGTATAGGACGGTGACTATTGACAGGAACTCGGGATTAGTTTCCTCGCCTTAGAGTGCTGGCGGTCGTGGGTACCGCACGGGAAACGACCCGCATCCAATCTACGTTGAAGTCCGCCGGACTCCGAGTACAAAGCGTTGTAAAAGTCAACATTAGTCGTGCGGAGACCCGAGATGGATGGGTGCGGAGCCGACCAAACCACAACCTCATTTGTCATTCTGACCCTAATAGGCGCTCGCTAACAATGCCCGCTCTAACAGTCTGAAAGCCTTAATGCGGGGGACCTTTGTGTGTTTAAAATGTGTCTGTGCATAAGGCTGGGGTGTGTGCGCGCACTTGGGTCCGGGTCACGAGGGAGTAGGGATCTCGCTCAGAGGCGTGCGCGCGCGAGCGCACACAAAACAAAGGGACAAAGATGCCCTGTTCAGCCTTATAGACTATCGGGGGGGGGGTGGGGAAGTTCTGCTAGTGAGCACCTATTAATGTCGGCGCAGCACAAACAAGAGCGGCGGCGAGGTGCGCGCGGCACCGGCACGCGCACCCAGCCGCCTTTGCATCCCCGGCGCTTACAATTCGAGCGCTGCACACCCGAGAACCAATTCAAGGCCGAAATGACCTGGGAGAAAGCCGATGCCGGATTTGCCCAGTCGTGAGATCGAACCCTGGGTTCGCCGCCACGAGTTCAATCCCCGGCCGCACACAAAGCAGCAGGACGTGGTATTATCTGACCACCCCCTATCCCCCCCCCCCCCGCCTTCCTCCCCTAGATCGACTCAGCCTTGAAACGAGTAACCTGGCGCAGCATGAAAAAATTTCATCAGCGCTGGGGGGGGGGGGGGGGGGGGGGGGGAGGCGTGGCGTTTGCCACACCACCCTCTCGGCGGGCGTAAATGAGTGCTCGCTAACGGCACTCAGCCCAACAGTCTGCAACGGCTACACAGGGGGGGGTCTTTGTGCAGCGAGCGCGCGTGTGCACGTGTGCGTGTCCGTCCGTGCCACTTGGGGATGCGAGTGGGGCTGGGTCGTCGTTACGTTTGGGAATAGGAGGCGATGAGGTCGGGACAGACAGGCGGAGGAGGCTGGTTGGTGGTAGCGTCTGTGTCTAGGGGTAGTGTGGGTGGGTGGGTGTAGGGGAGGAGGAGGTGGGGGGGGTTAGGCGGTGGGAGTGGGCGGAGTGGTGCGGATATACCCGGTTTGAGGCCACGAGGGGCCACCAAAACAAAAAACCAACAAAACTACGACAATGACAGCTGTCAGTTCCCATAGAGGGAGCACCAAAGCTCTCAACAATTCAGGCCGCCCCCCCAACCCGCACCCACCCAAAAGCCCCCCCCCCGCCCCAACTCTCCCCGAGTAGGCCACGCCACCCCCTCTCCGCCAGCCTTGCCAGATCCAGGAGGTTTATACCTCTGGATCTGAAGGTTATTGTTCCGGGCGCCTGCCGAGCTTTTCACGAGTGCCGCCCTGCGAGCTCTCCGCCATAAAACGTGGAGCTCCCAGCAGGGACGTGGAATGAAACGTCGGACGTCGTGCCCGATAGGACGCGCGGCACGGCCGGAAAAACGCGTGCGAGAGTTGTTTGCTTTGTTTTCATTAAAAAAAAATGTAAAAGGTGAATATTTTGAATTCAGCTGACGTCTTTTTTTTTACTTTACACTCGCACGTGGACTGCTCTTGCTCATGACGTCACAAGATCTCTAACGTCTACCACGAGGCAGACGGACAACCGTTCTTGGTTAGTAAGCCCGCAGGATTAACCAGGGCGGCCGCTCGGCTCGAACCACAAAACCTTCTAAATCGCCTCCACGACCACCAACAACCACCCAACCACTCCAAACCTCTTCACACCACCAACAGCCACAGCACTGCCACCACTCCTGGCCGCCTTCTCCTCCTCCACCCACCACCACCACCTCCGCTCACGCTTAAAAACAAAAGCCACGAGGCCCGGGTGGGCACTGGGTCGAACGCATCTGCGCAGCCGCCTGCGTTGCCAACTGTCGGCAGGGGTGACACGGGGTGGGTGGGTGGGGGGGAGATCGATACACTCAGCCCTGGGGCCCGCAGCAGTCGGCATCGATAATCGCCACTGCTGAGCACCAATTTTTTTTTTTACGCAGGGCAAAGCACTTAATATCCTTGTTCGGCGACCGCGAAGCACCCTTGTTAAGCGCAGATCGTTAGGATCGCGCACGCACACCGGTTTTACGCCGCGTTTGTCCGTCCGTGGGTACAAGGAGCTGCTGCTGCTGCTGCTGCTGCTACTGCTTTGTTTTATTTGTTGCCGGGTTCCGGAGAGAGGAGGAAGAAAACCGCACACACCCGCTGAAACAAAAGTGCCGAAACTCGCACGGCATCGGGTTGACGGACGCAACGACAAAGCAGGCAGCGCAGGCACGAACGCACCGGAAGACAGGCCGACATAACGAAAAAGAGGCGGACAGACCAAGAGACAAACGGATGATAGACACCGATTGACAGACCAACAGATAGGATTGATAGACGAATTTTCACACAAAGAGATGGAGAGACAAACGGAAAGACTGACAGACAGACCAAGAGACAGGAACGTTACGTACGCTATACAAAACCACAACTGGAGGTGTATTCTGTGATACAGTGCGTTGCATTAATTTGGAAACTCACCATAAATACATTTTGAATGTTTTTTTTTTACTTGGCTGTTCTTTGCGTTTTGCAAGGAACGCCCCCCAGGAGTAGCGCCATTCACGGCTGACCACCTTCGTCTCCCCAGTGATGATGTCTACACACTGCACCCCAGTTGGTCCCTTAAGGCCGAGTCAACCTAGAGAAGGCCCATGACCGGTTCAGATGTCAGATCGCCGATGGTGGCCGTGAGCGGGAATCGAACTTGGGCCGCAGGGTTCGTAGCGCATTAACCGCTGCACTTCCCTCTCCCCAAAGACAAAGACCTCCCCCGCGCCCGTATAGCCTGTAACAGACTGTCGGGGCAAGTGCTGTTAGCGAGCACCTATGAAGGTCGGCAAGGTACACGAGGGGGCGGGTGGCCAGCGCCACGCCCGGGCCGCCTTTGTCCCCCGAGGTGGCGATGTTTACGCATCGAACCGGGTGCTCTTTTGAGGCAGAGTCGACCTAGGGGAGGCCCAGGACCGGTTAGGATGAACGTCATTGATGTTGGCCGTGAGTAATAAATCAAGCCCGCGTCGCCAGGCTAGCTACACTGTCGCTTTAACCCCCCCCCCCACACACACACACAATGTACAGCGTACTCGGTATTACCACGAGAGAAACCACCGCACGCTTCCAGGAAACACGCACACGCAGCGCAGTCCGACGACATCACAAAGGATCAGGCGCGCTTGGCTGGGAAATTTACCCGCGACAGAGAGCACCACAACCGACGCAGTCACCCCGGGCGCTGGTTCACCTGCATTGCGAGCATGGAAAATAACTCTCGTGCAAATGTCCACAGGAGGGAGACTTCTTGATTTATTTGTGTTTTAGTTAAATGGTGTAAAAGATTTAAAAGGGCTGTAAAGGACTTTGGGAGGTTTTGCATAGAATGCCATGACAAGTGTATTTACATATCGTAAAATAGGTAAAAGCGAGCTGGTTACTCATTCTTCTGAGGATCATTAAGAGTCTGTTAAAATGATGCGGCGGGCAAGGAGGACAGTTTTCCCTCCACAGATGGAGTGGCTAAGACCTCCACTGCTTAGTTTATCATTTAATCAGAGTATTTATTTACCCTGGAGGAATCTGACGAGCTATAAAAGCTCTTTCGCAGATGTCCAATAGGGGCTGGTCACAACGTTAACAAATACAAAAACACAAACGGGAGTGCAACGCATAGCCAATCACTAAAAAAATATATAGACACATTCAACTAAACTAATTGTATCTTACCAGGTAAAGCCCACTATAGTATTAACTTATTTTTCAGAAGCAACCTGGCCACCTCCCCCCCCCCGCCACCTACAGCCTCCATTTCGCCAACCAACATTACCAGCGTGATGAAGTATGGCAAAAAAAAATAACCCCCTTGATCAACAAAGTATGGGGAAACATTCATCCAGCAGTGGATTGCCACGGGGCCAGTAAATCACTGTACCGTTTAATTGATTAAATGGAAATGACAAATGTCCTCTGTGACTCATTGAGAACTGAACCAAGCAGGCTCGGTCAAATTTAAGCGCAATTAGCGAAAGGCATACAATAACAGTGGCCAGGAATAGAAATACGGGATAAAATTAATGTCCATTTCACCACCCACAACAACAACAGCAGCGACGTTTTGGTCCATCAGTGTTCTGAATCAACATTTACAGCAGCGTGTGTTCAAAAGCAGGCAAAAAAACTCCGTTCTGGCTTCAAATTTCTGAATCCCATCAGCAAAATGCGGCCAAGTTAGTTCATTTTTTTTGTTATGAATTCCCCGAGTGTGGACGGATGAGTTGGAAGCAACCTGAAGGGGGGGGGGGGGGGGGGGGGGATGGGGGCACGGGGGAAGCATGCCCACAAACTCCACAGCTCCCAGCGGTGCTGGCCCGGCACTTTGACCCCGGCCTAGCACCAGCCAGGCATCCAGCCCCCCCCCCCCCCCCCCCGCGAGACTCCGCCGCAGCTGTCTCGCAGGATAAATTTAGCGAGAAAAAGCCGGCGAGCCAGAAGCAAACAAAACAACAACGAAACAACACGAAAGGCGAGCCGCGTTTACCTGGCTCCGCGCGCCACGTAGGCTCGTGCCCTTGTCGATGGCAGGGAAGCAGCGGGGGGCTTGAACCGGGCCCAAAGAAGTACGTTCCCGTGTAGCTCAGGTTCCTTCCGCTGTAGGCCAGAGAAGGGGCCATCGCGTCCGCAAAGCCGTGGGGTGCCCGCGGCTGCAGTAGCCGCAGCCGGGGGCGGCTGCGGCGGCCGCGGCACCACCGCAAGCCGAGACGCGAACAAGCGGGGGCCCAGCAGGGAGGGGTGCGTGCGATTGCGCCGGGAGGTCGGCGCCGGCTCCAGGGTCATCCCCGTCCTGAGCGGCCGCGCCCCGGGCCCGAGATCGTACGGCGGGCGCTTGTCGGCCGCGCGCGACCGGTCAGCGCCCGGCCGCTTCATCGACAGGTCCAGCGGGACGTCGTCGTTCTACTGCCGACGACGACGCCGCCGACGACGCCGCCGACGACGAGGCCGCCGGCACGAAGTCCCACGCCGCCCGCCGTTACCGACGGCTGAAAGCCGACGCCGGTCAGGAAGCATCCCGAGTACGGGACTGAGAAGGAGGGGGGCGGCGGCGCGATACGCCGGCAGTCCAGGGGCTCGGCCGGGGGGTTCCACGGCGCCTGCGGCAGCGTCCCGGCCGTCTGCTGGTAGCCCACGCCCTGCGCCGCCAGGACACCGTCGCCCCCGGACTTGCTCTGCCGCATGGCTCCCGACGCCGCCGACGCCGCCGCCGACGCCGCCGCCGACAGAATGGACGACGCGGCGGAGACGACCACGGGCGGCCGCCTGCCGTCCCGGCTCGCGGCGAAGGGGCACTTGCAGGCGTCGGCGCGCGAGTTGGCGAACGCCTCGGCCTCCGCCCGCTCCACTCCCGGGGCACCGCCGGCGACGGCGGAGGCGGGTGGGTGCAGGGAGGCCGCGTCCGTCTCGGACAGCATGGAGCCCTGCGCCAGCGAGCAGTCCTGGCCCGGCCCGGCCGACGCTGCCAAGCACGGGCTGCGCCTGTTCACCAGTGTGCTGCTGCCCCTCGGCTGCTGCTGCTGCTGCTGCTGTTGTTGCTGCGGCTGCTGCTGCCGCTGCACTCCACTACCACCGCTGCCGCTGGCTGCCGCTCGATGCCTCTCGGGCACTGGCGGCGCCGGCTGCGGAACGCACGGAGCGGCCAGCGCCAGGTCATCGTCGTCACGCTCCAGCAGCAGGTTCACCAGCGCCTCCGCGTTCAGGCTGGCCACCCGGCGCTTCCTCACCGGCTGCCCGTCGTCGGGCGCCTCCCGCAAACCGCGCCACCGGTGGTTCGGCTCGTGCTGCTGCTGCTGCTGCTGCTGGCCGTGGCCGCTGTGATTGCGGCGACGGACGCCCGGCAGGCGGGCGGCCCAGCCGCCGACGTCGTAGCCGTCCTCCTCCTCCTCGTAGTCGTCGTCGTCGTCGTCGTCCGAGCTGGGGGCCCCTCGCCGCTTGTGGCTCCTGCGCACCGCCCCCCGCGGGGGGCCGCACGCGAAGAGCGCGACGGCGGCCTTGCGCTTCCTGGGCGCCACGTCGGCGGCGCTCAGCCCCTTGGCACCGCAGTCTCTCGTCGCGCGCAACGAGCCGCCGCCGTCGCCCTCCTCCGCACACTCGCGCTGCTGCAGCTGCAGCTGGTGCTGCTGGTGCTGCTGGTAGGAAGGCGGCGGGGGTCGCGGCGGCGAGGGCACGAGCCCGCCGTCGCCCTTGGGCGCGTCAGACGACGCTCCGGCCAAGCGGAACGCCGAGAACCGCTTGCGCAGGGGGTAGGTCTTCCACACGCCGCTCGAGTGCGAGGAGTCATCGGCGTCGCCCCTTCTCGCCGCGGTCGCGGCGGCGGCAGAGGCGGCGGCCGCCCTGCTCGCCTGCTGCAGGTCGCTGTCGCAGGGCGGGCCCAGCCACACCTGCAGCAGGGGGCTCTGCATGTGGCTGTGCGCGCGTCCCGCCAGGGCTGACGCCATCGCACCGCCTGCGCCCCTGCGGAGGAGAGGCGTGCACGGTGGCGGGGAGGGGGGGGAGCGGGTTCTGTTAGACTCTTCGGGCACGAGCGCCGGCGATGGCCCTACCTGCTGCTAGAGGCACAGCGCAAGCAGCACACGTACGTACTGACGCCGTCAGAAAATGCGAAAGCCGCCGTTGGGTGATTATTCTTATTACACAAATTTAGAATTTCATTCCTCCAGCACCAGAGTGTATGTGCCGTGTACGAATGCGCAGCCCCTTGCAAGAGCAAGTGGTCAGGTGTGGCCACATCTCTGGGTACTTAAAAACTATAAACTATGTTTTATTTGTACCAGGTAAGGCCCACTGAGCTGTACAACTTTTTTTCAGAGGTGACCTGGTCACACATGATAGCTCAAAGAAGCGGCCAATCGTGTGGAAATGTTTAGCCGCCAAATCCTCCAAAAACGCACGTCGATTCTAAATGTGGAGGGAATAACCAGGGACCCGGATAAACATCCACAACCACGGGGAGAACACGCAAACTCCAAATATACAGGCATCAGGGCGGGGATCGATCCCACGACCTCCTGTGTACCAGGCGAGACAGTTAACATCTCGCCACAGAGATGTTCTCTGTGGTGCATCCTCAGCCAATCAATCATCCAATTTCCTTCCGCTGATTCAGACTCTCCGGGAAAGAAGGGGGCTCATCTTGTTGATAGCCAAGCTTAATTCACTGCCGCACACGTACGCGCACGCACAGACAAAGACCCCCGTATAGCCTCTTCAGGCCGCTGGAGCAAGGGCTGTTAAAAGAGAGCGCATATGGCGAACAGCATGGTGCAAAGGGCGGCGGTGTCGCCAGCACCACGCCTGGCTAACCTTTGTCTTCCCGTTGCCGAGGTTTGCATGCTGCATAAGGTACTCATTTCAGGCCGAGTTGACCGAGGGGAAGAAGCCTTGGACTGGTTCTGATAATCATAACTGGCCTGGAATGAAAGTCGGGTCCACCTGGATCGTAAACGCAGCTAGCTAACCACCGTGTCACCGCATCAACATCACAAACACACCACATAGGCAGACCCCACCACCCCATACAGCCATCAAGACTAAGACAGGGCGAGTGCCGTCACACGCGCACGCAAAGTCTCTATGCAGATGAGACGGCCGGCGTTTGCAATATCCCCGAGAATCCGGTGAGCGAGCGGAACGCAAGCGTGGCTAACGGGCCTGCCGGCATCTGTACCCGGCACGCGCGCGTCACTCGCAGAGGAGGGCGCCGACGGGAGGTGCCAAGAGGAGGGACGGGCGGGCGGCTCGCACAGGTGCCGGGAATTAAGAGCGAAGGAGCATTCCGTTTGTCTTGTAAGGAGACGAGCCAGACGAAACCGCCCGGCTCTGTCAGGACCCATTACTTAGTCCAGTAAGGGGGGGGGGAGGGGGGCGGAGAGAGAGAGGCAGTGTGCGAGAGATAGCGGAACGGAGCGGAGTGGTGGGGGAGTGTTGAGTGAGTGAGTGAGCGTGTGTGGGTGGGTGACCGAGTGCTTTGGCGAGTGGGTGGATTGCCAAGTGACCGCTCGGGCGTGTGGTGAATTGGTGAGTGAGCGAGGGGGTGGATTGGTGAGCGAATGAGTGGATTGATGACGGAGTGAAGTGAGTCGGTGAGTGGATAGGCAAGTGGGTGGACCGGTAAATGAGTGGATGGATGGACTGGTGAGTGAGTGGGTGAGTGGGTGAGTGCGTGAGTGGATAGGGAAGTGGGTGAATTGGCGAATGAGTGGGGGTGGATGGATTGGTGAGCGAGTGTGTGGGTGGATGGTAAGTGGGTGTATCGTGGAGCGAGTGAGGTGATGTTTGAGTGAATGATTGGATTGCTGTCGAACAAGAGTGATTGGATTATTCTTTGAAGGTGTGGGTTGGTATTTGAGGAAGCGAGTGTTTGACAGTGTGACCTAGTTTGTGGATTTGTGAGCGAGATAGTGCGATTGAGAGAGACGGTGTCAGATTTAACGCTTGAGTTAGTGGGTTGGCGTTTTTTCTTTGTTACAGCACTTGAGTCGACGAGTCCATGAGTCACTGGTTTGCACACGTTCTGGTGTTCAGTGGGAGCGAATACTCGCACGAAGCAGTTTGTCAAAATCAGAGCCCTTATTTAGACTGCAGAAGGAATCCGTTGAGCTATGAAGCTCTTTTTCACGGATGTCCAGCGTGTGACCGACTAGCCATGGAGGGGCAGTGACCGTGAGCAGGAAACCAATCAGGGAATCGAGCGAGCGAGCGAACGGACGCCCACTCGCCATGGCGCGATTCAAACAAACATCGCGACCGAGCGTTTCCACGTCACGTTTGAACGCCGAGCGATCAGCCGCCCTGGCCTCACCGACCTAGGGATTTTCCCGGCCAGCTGTGGCCAGCCTCGGCCTCCACGGAGGCGCCGCGAAAGAAGATGACACCCGGAGCGCGTATGGCAGCGAGCGCACACACACAAAGCCAAAAACGTAAAGCTCCCCCTGCTAGGATCGAGTGCTATTAGCGAGCACCTCCAAAGGTCAAAGACAAAGATCCCCTCTACACCCCACCCTCACCCCATAGCCTGCGCAGACTGTTGGAGAGTGCTCTTCGTGAGCACCTGTGTAAGCCGGAACAGCACACTATATTTTCTTTCTTTACGATTTTTATTTTACCAGGTAAGGCCCACACCGAGCTGTACAGCACTTTTTCAGACGCGACATGGCCACACGTGATAGCTCAAAAGAAGTTTATAGCAGCAAAACCCTCTAAAAGCACGTGGATTCTAAATGTGGAGGGAATAACAAGAGGACGCGGAGAAACATCCCTCCAAATATACCAGCGTCAGGGTCTGGATCAAACCCAAGACCTCCTGCATACTAGGCGAGGTAGTTAACATCTCGCCACAATGGTGTCGCTAACACCATGCCCGGCCGCCTTTGTCTCCCCAGCGCTGTCATTTACAAACACCTAATCAGATTCTTGCTCGTTCAGGGCTGTTGAATGCCAAGTCAACCTAGTGGAGGCCGAGCACGGCTTCTGGACACCGTGTGGCAGTGAACCCGGTACATTAACCACCGCGTTTGTTGCTTCTCAACGGACACACGCACGCAGGCAGGCACGCGTACGTGTGCACGCACCCACACAGAGATGGCCCATATAGCCCTGCATGACTATCGGGGTGAGCGCTGTTAGCGAGTAATTATTAAGGGCTGAACGGTACAAAAGTCAGTGGTGCGGTAAGGGTCACGCAGGATTGGGTTTTGGGTCGCCCCAATGCGGTTCCTTTAAACACCGTACCATATACTCGTTTAAGGCCGAGTCGACCTATGGGAGGGCTCGCGACCGGTTCAGATAGGTTCAGATAATTTGCGCTGGTTGTTAGCCGTGTAACTGGGAATTGATTTCGGGTGGCCGGGGGTTTGCAACGCAGTGCGCTAATCACCGTGCTGGCGCGCTCCCCACAGATACACACGCTCACATGTGCACGAAGAAAAAGATCCCCCGTGTGGCCTTAACAGACTGTTGGGGCAAGCGCTGTTCACGAGTGGCACCCATGAAGGCCGGCACGGCACGCGACGGGGTGGGTGGCAAACACCACGCACGACGGCCTTCGTCTCCCTCGTGGCGGTGTTTAACACGCCGCACCAGGTACTCGCATTTGAGGCCGAGTGGACCCGCGCGCACGCACGCACGTGCACACGTTCCAAAGCCTTGCAGAGGGAGGCTCAAGAAAGCACACGGCGGCGGCCCACACGCGCACAGGACGGCAGAACGAGCCGACGGGGAGGGGGTTGGTTTTTGTTTTATGGTCGGCGTGAACATTACATGGCCATGGAGGTGTGCAGGCGGTGCAATAGCACCGCGGTACACGGGCCAAAGGGGCCCAGGCAACCGGGCTACAAAAGGAGGGGTGACGGAGGATGGAGGGTGAGGGACGCAACGCCATTTTACTCGAGGGCTCGTGGCCACGGACGCCACGCCACTGGCTTACACAGAGGCCTACAATCATGCGAGAGAGGCCTGTAGGTCTTACACAGAGATCCAGGGACACGATAACGGTGCTACCGATGGTAACGGTGGCGGGGTGGAGGAGGGCAGGCGCCCGTTCCAACAAGACCTCCACTAAGCGGACGTCTTGTCAAGTCCTATTTAAAATCAGGGCTGCGTGCCGACCCCCCCCCCCCCCCCCCTCCGGCCGCGGCTCTCGCTGCCACTTAACGGCCCCCTTTGCTCTCACCGCCACCGCCTCCTCCCACAGTCAAGGCGCAAAGAAATGCAGGCGGCCTCCCTCCTCCTGCCACTGCTGCTCTTCCTCGAAAAACAGCCGGGCCACGAGTCCAATCAATCAGCGCGCGGCGGGCAAAGCAGAGGGAGTTATCGGGAGGGATGTTACGGCCGCTAAATTGGAGGGGAAGGGATGCTCGGGTTGGGGGTGGGGCCACGTTGGTGAGGTGCAGGGGAGGGACTCGAACACTCGGGGATGGAGAAATCTCTCGGATGCAAATTTTTATTTTGTGATCTGCCCCCAAGTGTCGAGGCCGATCTCCAATGGCCACGCACGAGTGTGGGAAATTGTCCGCCACCCCCCCCCTCGTGCGTGCGTCCGGGTATCACGTACGCGACCCGCTGTCGATTTAGCCAGCCGTCATACTCTAGTTGGTCTTTTATTAGTCCAGTTGAAGACAACCTGGTGGCATTTAAGTCTTTGGGGGTCTATGGATATCATTTTGACATTCACATAGTCCAGTTGGCTAAAGCAGTACAATATTTAGGCTAATCTTCGTGCTGAAGTGTTACCACTGGAAGGTGTGTGTGTGTGGGTCATGTGTAGGCCTCCATAGGTGCTCGCTAACAGCACTTGCCCCTACAGTCTGCTAAGGCTATATGGGGGATCTTGGCCTTTGTGGGTCGTGGGGGATTCTGTACTTCTACCACGCTGGTCAGTGTGGGTTGGCGAAGGCCGGGAGCAGAGCTGTTGGGATTTAGAACTATGGTACCCACAATGCATTGTGCACTACTGC